TCTCAAAAAAAAAAAAAAAAAAAAAAAAACTTCAGCACCTTCCTATCTACCTCTTAGGTTAGCACTTTTTTTTCCTTTGAAGCCCTTGGTTTTAGTGATCAGGACAGGTAGTGATATCTTGGAGATCCCCTGGTATTCCAGATTATTCACACTGGTCCTCCCATTTTCAGATTCTCCATTCGCTATTTTTCTTCAATAAGTCCTCCAGGGTTCCATGTTTTGTTTTAACAAAAACTGCATTTCTCATCCAAGTAGATTTCGTTTTTATCAAGAAGCCCAAAGCCCAAAGACCTTAAATAACTAGCTCTTCCATATGGCTAGGAGGGTGCAGAGCTGCATGTAAATCCATCTTTCCCAGCTTTCTTTTCATTATAATATATCTGGGAATATCTTTCAAGCATTGCGAATCTATGATTTTCCTTTCTGGAGCTCAGGGTTGAGATCCACAGTAGAGAAGACTATCTTGCAACCATTCCGGAGACTCTAGTGACTAGAAAAGAGTCTTTTTCCTGATTCATGTGAGATTTGAGTCAACTTGAATAGACTTGGCATGTGAACATTCTCTCTAGGGGCTTTCCTTATTTCCTCATCCACTCAGACCAGTTGTGGCTGCTTCATAGCCAGAGTTTGAATCCTTTCCATCCTATTCCATTTTAGCAACAAAAACAGCTGCAGGCACAGCTTGACCAATGACAAAAGTGCAAATACTTCCTCCTCAGTTTTTCTTTGTATTTTTAGTTTTATTCTTAGTCTGGGGTTTCTTTGGCTTTCTATAGCTGCTATCTGGGTCAATTGACCCATGCCCTCAGAAGTGAATGCTGCATTTGAGCCCTTTAATTAGAGACTATTCATTCCATCTTTATCCTGAGCTCTTTTCTCCTCATTGCTCCTTGGCTATAGTTGTGGTGGTTATTGTTTTTTCTCACAGTGCCTCTCCGGTTGAATTGACTGTTGTATAGCCAAAGCCAATCTACGAGGAGAGGAAAAGAGAAACATACAAAGACCTCTGGGTAAGACAGGTGGTCATGGAGATTTCATTGCTTACTCAGAAATTATCCAGAGATTCAGATCATTTTAATAATATACTTTTCAGCTTTCCATACTCAATTCTATCACCTACCTATTGATATCCCAGTTGGAAGATATGGAGGAAAATCGACTGATTGTTTCCGATAGCAGGTCAGTAAGACCCCTCAAGGTGATAGAGTAGGAACATAAAATATGAGGCTTGGAAGAGACTCCCAGTTCACCTGCAAGGCCTTCATTGTTCTCATGAGGAAACCAAGATCACAGAGAGAAGAAAATCCTTTATAGCCTCTGCCTATTTCCCACTGAGTCCTGCCCAACCTAACTTGAAAGAGAAAGACACACACAAACAATATGTAGGTGGTAGCATGGGTTTCCAGCCATTTGGAAATGATAGCAAAGCAAACACTGTAGCGGGAGTCTGCCTCTTGGTGAGACATGAGAGGGAAGACAGGGGAAATAGTCTTGAGCAGGAGAACCCCTAAAAAATGATTTTACTACTACTACAAATAGTTAGCATTGCATGACAGACTGTTTGTGAAGTTCTGGTGTAAGTGCTTTACATATTTATCTAATTTAAGCCTCTTTCTAATCTTATGAAAATAAGATTATAATTGGAACAATTATTATCACACATACCCCCTTTTTTTGGAGCTCTGACCACAAGGGCCCCCCTTCCCTGGGTGAGAGGTGCTGTGCAGATGCCCCTGGGCTACAAATGGCACCCTGGAGTGGCTCTTGTGATCCTCATGACAGCAGGTTAGAACTATGGTCACCATTTTTTTTTTTTTTTTTTAGAGACAGAGTCTCACTTTGTGATCCTCAATAGAGTGATGTGGCAGCATCACACTGCTCACAGCAACCTCCAACTCCTGGGCTTAGGTGATTCTCTTGCCTCAGCCTCCTGAGTGGCTGGGACTACAGGCGCCTGCCACAATGCCCAGCTTTTTTTTTTGCTGTTTGGCTGGGGCTGGGTTTGAACCTGCCACCCTTGGTATATGGGGCCGGAGCCCTTACTGAACCACAGACGCTGCCCTATGGTCACCTTTTTAGCAATGAAGAAACTGCAGCACAGAGCTGTGCAGTGACTCCTCCAGGTAGTCTGGCTTCAGAATTTCTGCCCCTTGCTGTCACACTGTGCAGGACAGAAACCTTGAAGATGCAAGAGTGAGGGGGAAGGGAAAAGCCTGGGTCTATTCCTGGAGCACAAATGATAAGAAAGCACCAGATTAGGGCTGGGAAGCCGGAGAGTGGATCCAGCACCCTCCAAACCCAAGAGGCAGCAGAACAAAAGAACAAGGAACGTGGGGAGCAAACACAGGGCTGTGCCCCCGAATTCTAGGCAGCACTATAGACCTGTATTTTTAAAAAATAGGCAAAACAGCTTTCCAACTTGGGCCTAGTAGAATGGCTCCAGCAAAGAAGGATGGCGAGAAGGGCTGGTCTGCCATCAGTGAGGTGGTGACTCAAAAATACACCATCAATATTCACAAGCGCGTCCACAGAGTGGGCTTCAAGAAGTGTGCCCCTCCCCACCCCCGGCACTCAAAGAGATCCGGAAATTTGCCATGAAAAAGATGGGAACTCCAGATGTGCTCGTTGATACCAGGCTCAACAAAGCTGCTGAGCTACAGGCAGCGAGCCTATTATTCCTTTCTTAACAAACGAGGAAGCTAAAACATAAGCAAATTACTTTACCCAGTGTCACATAGCCAGTAAGGGCCATG